GGTGGAGATGCACTGCGACAGCGCTGAGGCCGTCCTCAGCGCGACTGACACGAAGATATCGTCAAAATAGCTGTGTGCGAAGTCCCGAAGCGGCAGAAGAACGTGTGAAACCATTCTGTTGAACGTCGCTGGAGCGTTCTTCAATCCCTGGGGCATGACGAGCCACTCCCAGCGCATGCCACTGGAGTACTGACCGCCGTGAGTGGACTATCACTCTCCCTCATCAATATCTGACAAAATCCATCAGTCAGATCAATCGCACTGAAGACTTCGCTACTAGACATGGAGTCTAGGACCATGTCCTTTCGAGGGATTGGCGTCTGCGCAGGGATTGTGGTGTCATTCAGCTTATTGAAAGCGTGAGCGATGCACCAGCCTCCGGTTGGCTTCTTCACACAGAAGGTGGGACTTGAATGTGGCGAGATGCTCTCCCGGACATGACCAGCTTTGCAGCGTCCCTCAAAGAATTCATCGATGGCTTGAACTTGGCCTCGCGGCAGTGGCCACTGCAGTGTCACGCAGTACTTCGACCCTGGCACGAGATCGATCTCGTGTCGAACGCCTCAATCGGCGGGTAACTCGGCTGGAATGTTTTCAGGGAATACGTCTGCGAATTCGCAGGCGGGTTCGTACACAGGGTTGCCTGAAGCTTTGAGAGCGGACCATGACTGAGCCGTAAACCGCTCTTCTCGCGCCGACTTTGGCTCAGTCGCCGCTGGTCGTGACGACTCCGTCACGTCGTTGACCGCATTCAGTGCAACGGGAGAAGTGTCGCCGTCGGTTAACTTACAGACTTGTTCGATTTCTCCTGCTTTCAAGTCCCGGAGAAAGTGTTTCCATGACAAACCCGGGAGACTGGTTATCGACGCAGCATCGGAAGGCGGGCTTGAAACTTCGATGGAACGAAGCTGATTCGGCGCGCTGGTGGAGAACTCCAGCATGGATAGCACTTCGACACGACCAGCATACCCCCCCCCCCCCCACACAAGGTGGAGTGTTGCGTGACCTGTTTAGGCGCCCACGCGAGCTCTTCTTGCGTTTTGATTTCTTTGACCGCCTCGAGCACGAACTCGACACCGACGAATTATCGTCGTCGGATGCCAGGAGCAGCACATGCTCGACCACTCGGTTCAGCTTCGGGAGCAGCACATGCTCAACCGTCTCTTCTTGATCCTTGCTCACCAACAAGGATCCTCTATTACCTTTGGCTTCACTTATCGACACGAAGCAAGCCATACAAGGAGGGCCATCACTCACTCGATGCATGGATTGTAACGTGGATGTCTTGTCCACTATTGTGGCGTGCGGACAATCTCTTGGTGCAACCAAGGGATGCGTGAAAACTTCACTGACGTCGACATCAGCACGGCGTTTAACCGATCGTGCTAGCCAGTCGATTTCCGGTTGGTATCGTGCTAGCCACGACATTCCCAATATGCAGTCAAAGGCGTAGTTCATCTCAATCACCAAAAACTCGTCGCTGCTCGTGAATCCGTCGAAAGTGTAAGACAGCGACACGTCACACCGGAACGCGGCGTGACTTACCATCAGCCAACTTAACAACGACATCCGTCGAGCCTTTCCTGACAGCTACGCTCGACAGAAGGAGCGGCAGACACGACGCGCGGAGAAAAGTATTCGTTGCGTCTGAGTCGAGGAGCGTGCGGAGAGGACGTCGCGCGCCTTCGACATGTAGACTGACGATAATCAGTCTCGTGTCGTCGTTGGCTGTGGTGGCATTGTAGTGTGCATGTAGCACAGAGGGGCTAGGAGGTCGAGCTGCCACTGGGGGACCCGGACCACCATTCCAGCCAGTAGGACGCCCCGCACCTACTGGTCCCGACCGTTGTTTTGGCTGTGTGGTCGGGATGGCTTGTACAGCGTCTCCGACGGCCGCTGCTTAGGCTAAGGCAGGGGCAGGTGCGCGACACATTGCTGCACGATGGCCCTGCTTTCGGCATCGAAAGCATATCAGTGGGCGTTGCCCTCGACCACCGCGGTTGCTCTGATACGGGGGCCATCACCGCGTGATGACGCCTCGATTGCATCAATCACCATAGGCTCGGGAACCGACACCCGAGCTTCCTCCGACAGCGCCTTGCCGTACGATGACGACACCGTATCCTCACGCAGTGCGATGGCGAAGGTTTCCTCGAGTGTCTTCGACTCTGCTCGCTTTAGGCAGTATCTCGTCATGCCCTCGCGCATGCCGAAG